CAGCAAGTTGTTAGGAAGCAGAGAATTAGAAGCACAAACGCTAGAAGCACCACACTTCCAGAAGAGGTAAAAGTTTTTGAAAATGCAGTTATGCTCAAGGGTTCATTGCCACAGTACTGAGAATTCCATACAGCCAACAATGGGGCTGGACACCAGTGACCTCTGCCAGCTCCCAGCCTGCAGCCAGACACATCAGCCACCCCTGCCCAGTGAAGAATAACACATCTCTCAGTGTTTGACTTTTCCAGGTGGAATAAACACCATTACATTGCCATGTGTAAAATTGTAAAATTCATTCTCTTTTTGTCAGATCGATTTTTCAGCTCTTCACTGAAAGGCTGTCCGTAAGTCGGTCACTGAAGTGATCAGAAGGTATTATCCATGTTCTGGATATTCTGAGTACAGTGAGGTAAAAGCTGATGGAGGAGACCCAGCTAAGGAACTGAAGAAAGAGCAGGTAAGACCTGTCAATATAATTCTCTATTGGAACTGTTCCTCACGTGGTCCATCCTTCTGCCCAAGGCATGTCAGACTGACAGCTCTGCACCAGGGCTCCAGCTGTGGGACCTGCCCACTGAACACCAGCAAAGTGATGCTGTGCTCTGCACACCCTGCCCAGCACCACGGACCCCATGGAAATGCCACTGCTCAGCAGTTACAGCTTATCAACCGCAAGTGCCTGGTATCAGTGTGTGCCTGGTGCTCCAAGGGAAACTTATCGGAGTTCTTCCTGTATCTGCATGTAATTACCTCTGTCTTCCATATCACATTTATTACATGCACTGTACAACTCTGAAATCAGTCCTTCGGAGACTCCAGAGTTCATTATTCTCATTTCAGTAATTTATAAAAATCTGCTGATTTTTGAGAATGGAAAATAGAAATTTCTAATTGCATATAATTAAATACTGGCATGTTATCCTGAGTGAAAGCTCTGTGCAATACACTCGGGTCTATAATTCTGTCTTCAATTAGCTGTCCTCCTGGACAGGTTACTGTTTTCCTTTTCTAAAACACTGGAATCAGTATCTGCTGAAGGGAAATGTAGACTCTAATTGTCTACAAGAACAGAAGGATCACGGCTGACTCTTCTAATTTGTCCCTGATCTTAAAGGGAAATTATGAGACAAAATATTTTGATAAGGAAAACGCATTCAGATTTTTCTGCTCAGTTGTTTCCAGTTGCTGTTCCTAGAACCATCACAGGAGCCTCGTGGGCATTGCTCTGTCATATCTTTTTTGAAGTACTTACCATATTTTAGTCTTAAATATTAAATATTCCTATTCTACCAATAAAGTGTTTGATGAAAAATTGTACATTTGTTAAAAATGTCAGAAAATTTCCTGACCTAAGGTGTGCATTTATGGTGGGTGTGAGGGGAGTATTTATGCAACCATATTTACATTTAGGATTTTCCTATGGATGTACATCATCCCCAATGCATATTTCTAAAGGGAATGTCATCTGGGTTTTACACTACCTTAAGTGAGCTTTGTGCCCAAAAAAGGATTATTTAGGTATTGATGTCATTAGATTAAATAAAAAGTTACATGTAATATGTAAGACCAATTCTCACTAAGTTTCACTCTGCAGGATTTTTTATTGCTATTTCACCAGAATATGGGGGTCAAACAATGCCAGCAAGATTTTACCCTCATAGAGAGATGCTTTCTGTGAGGTGTTTGAGTAGAAATATTAACTACAGCCTATTAAGATAATGACATGCTGAATTATCACTAGGACTGATGAAAACAGTAATTAAACATTACAGCTTGCATGTGTCATCATTACCTTATTTTCTTTACAAAATAACAGATGGTTTTAGGTATCACACAACATGAACAGCTACTAACAGTGATGGTGATAAAATCAGAACACGCTCATTGATATCAGTGCCAGCACTTCTAGGATAAGTAGTGTATAAACATATCAGGAGTGGAAGGAGGACTGGAATAGGTGTAATTCATGATTTAGCCTGGCTACAGTGGCTGTAATATTTTGTATTTCTTATTTTAATCCAGGCAGCTACCTTTGGAAGAAAACAGGGTGCGTTTTCACAGCAGCCATTCATCAGACAAGATGCAAACTGAAACTGCCTCAGGCAACAAATGAAATATCATGGAAGTGACAGTTTGGTTATTAAGAGCGGTTTCTTCACATTACAGAGCCTTGATCTGATCCGATTTGATTCACATTTATTTCCTGGAGGGGTGTGCACATAGAAAGAACAATTCTGGGAAGCCCTGTAATGGAGTGCAGCCTTAAACTCTCTAGTGAAACACAACAAATGCCTTTTCAATCTTTAGCCATGGCATCACTTTCTCTTGCAGCTTTAGTACAATTGGTAGGGCTTCTTTGCCTGGGCAAATGCACATACTTAGCACAGAGAGAAAGGCTAAAGTGAAATGAAAATTTTGGGATACTTTCTAAAACAGTTAACTCAAACAAGGAACAGTCCAGAAAAAATAGAAAATAAAATATAAAGTAATAAAACCACTTTGAAGTATTTTGCTGTATTTTTTCCCTTAGCAAATGAAATAAAATATTTGTTGGGTAGGACTGGTTTTAAACCAAAAAACACCTCTTCATATTCACTGGAAAATTTAAACTGTGCTTACTACTGGACAGCTTGTGTTTGTGTTTTTAGGATGTTTTTCCTGAAGGCTGGGATGTCAGAAGACAGCAGTTTCCAGTAAAATACATCAGCTTGCCTGTAGGAATCAAGACACTTGCTGTATGCAAAAGTCATCAACAAAGCACAAAATCACAGAATCATTGCTGCAGATTTTCTTGAGACTGTTACACCTGCTTTATGTTGCTAAGCAATAAATTGAAATTCTTTGAATTTGCAAAAATTACCATTCCAATGGATTAATTTCTGAGACAGGAACACAGCACAGGAATCACAGAACTGATTGCTCTAATGATAACCTAATGACATCCAAGGAGGCTGTTCCCTATTGCCTCTTCTTGTTACAGGAGAGCCTACAGAGCTCCTGAATACTGCAGAACAGAGTAAAACCATCAGCAAAATAATTAAAATCCTCTCAGCTTTGAGGAGTGGTATCTTTGCTGCTGCTGTCAAACTTCCAACCTGGTACAACCCCGCTAAGAGAAGATGCACACATCAGTGAAAAGCAAAAGGAAAAAGCACAAATCCAGCATTAACAAGCAAGAGAAAATGAAGTTAATCAGATTTCTGGGTGTAGTAGAGCAAAGGGGAACTGCAGATCATGGGGCAATAGGCTGAAAGTAGTGAAAGAAAAAGAAATCCTCAGGTGAGAGTTGAGCTGGTCTAAGTCAGCGTAGCCCCAGGGAAGTTACGCTCACTTAGGCCTGGTAGGAATCGGGCTCAGCAACCTGAAAAAAGAAAGGAAAAACTGATAAACAAGAAAAGACTGGGATTGAGCAAAAGTACAGATATATTTGTATTTCCCTTCTTTTGGGGAGAAGGAAGAAAATTCTTGTCGATGGAGCTGAAAGGGTGGGAGAACAGGCAGCTAAGCAGGAAGACAGAAAGCTGGAAACACAAAGCATAGGAAGCAAAAAGAAATAAACACTGAAACCAAGAAATGGCAGCATTGCCAGGTGGGCAAGAAAGAGTCTTAAAGACATCCAGAATGAGGTGGCAGAGAGAAAAATTATGTGCTTTTAGGAATTTGACTCCTTATTGAGGTTATTTCTTCTTGCATATGCCCATCAGAAGCACTTTAACATTGGTCTTGGATCGTTGTTACCTATTTGGTTTTATTCCTCTGACACTGCTAAATACCATCAAGTGCAGATCAAGATTCCTGGAATATACACTTCTGGATCACTGCTACCATTTTTCCACTAGACAGACAGAGTTTTCAAGGTATGATAATTTCTTCATCACCACTGCAAGGTGAAAAAGTTCTTTAGTCAATGGGCATTCTTGTAATATGGAGAGGGAGAGTGTATGAAAAGAAAGAATAGCCAGAATACAATAAAGACCCTTTGCCATTTAAAATATAAGTGTCATCAGCTGAAGCTGAACATTATTTCTGTTAATTGTTTCCCATCCATACTAGTGTTATTAAATAGCACTGTTCACAAGCCTCTACAAGCCTGCACAATATGCTTACACAGAGCCCTACAGCAAAAATGCATTTATGTTCTATTTACAGTAATTACCTAAGCATATGAGCCCAACTTATTATACCCATTTGTATGTGAAGCAAACACCAGATCCCAGACTGAAGATATTCTTTAACTGGGTTTAAACCCAGTGACTGGAACCCTGTCTAGAAAGGGCAGCCTTATCTCTGTAATTCATGCACTTAAATCAATACCCATGGCACCCAGTGTATTTCTAATTATTTATTTCTTTTTAAAACAACTGTGCCTGCATGGGCAGGCTTTACAACATTTCTGTGTTGTTCAAATGGTTTGCAGCTAACTTGCTGAGCCAGTCTTCCATCCATGCAAACTTTTCCAATGCCAGATGTACAAATGGCCAGTACTGGATTTGTGTGTGTGCCCTCCTTTATTAAACAGGACATTCCTAGATTAATCAGCAATAGAGCAAGGTTACAAGCAGTGGAGCTGGCCTGAAAAATACAGTGGTTTTTAAAATTTTTTTGTTTCTTTTGTTTTTAACATTGAAACCTTGTGAATCCCAACACTCATTTGGAATAGGAAAGCTGCCTTTGTCCAACCAAAACAAGACAGCATCCTGTGATGCAGCTGACTCTGCAGAAGACTAATGATCCTTCTTGCTCTTGTTGTGAACACAAATGCTACTCTGACTGAACATGCTTTCCTTATGAAAACACAATTATTGGCGCAGGGCTGTGAAAAGTTCCAGTTTTGAGCTTATAGTTCTCATACTCTGTAGTTCTCATAGGAATCTAGTAATGAAAACCAGCATCTTAAAGCTAAGAAATTGCTCTGGGTAGTGTGGAAAGTGGAGATAATATACAAGTGATGACAGCAAATTTAACTGAACCTCGTTAATCACCTCGATAACAAAAAGAACAACTCCCAATTGCAAAATCCTCATCATATACTACAAAACATAAACATTGAGGCACAGCAGCTCCTCGTGCTGCATACATCTATATGCTGTGTTTATATAGATGTATGCAGACAGAAAATACACCCATGTACACACACATTCTAACACTGCACAGACACACACAAGTAGGCTGAGGTTTATAAGCAAAGAGTAGCAAATGAGCATCCACACAGAAGGACACTGTGCTGTGCTGGACAAGCCCTGGGTTGCCACTGAAACGTACTCACCATTTGCAGGAGATCAGAGGAAACCATCTGCATGCAACACATTGCTGTTGCCAAAGCACAGACAATGGTGGAGATGATATTGAGAGCGCACACACTGAACAACAGGTCCTGCAAGAGACAGCAGCAGAATATCATCTCTTATCTCAGGGACACAAAGCACAGGAAATGCTTGAGGAATTTGATAACAAACACTCTCAACTGCTATCCATTAATAAGGTCCCAAATAACTGGGTAGAACTCATTTAGCTTGTAATCTTTTTCAGGTAGCAATCCACAAAAGCAGCAATTACAGAAACAAACATCTTCCCTTCCCCAGTCCTCACAACACATTTGCTATTAGATATTTCCTCAGAAATATTGGTATTCAAATTTCCTTGTTCCCCAAAAAGACAAATTACTCTTTCACAGTCGACTCCAAGCTGCAGCTATCACAAGAAAGATGCTATGAAAGACACCTCTGATTAAAAACTACATGCAGAATTATTATTGCTTTGAGTAGTTGAAATCTACAACTTAGGGTTGTGTGTTAAAAAAATTCTAGCATGAAATAGAGACTTATCCTGTGTCAGAAACTCAATGCATTTTTATACATGAGAGAAAAGCAGTGATTACCCATCCAGATATTTCACCTTCTACTGATGAATTGAGTGCCTATGGTCATATTGTTGGCTTTGTTTTTAAAGAACAAGAAGTTTAAAATAGAACAGAGAATATTGGTTTAACAAGTAGAATAAAAGAAAATAAACATTTGAATTAAAATGGAACATTTTTAGAGCAATGATGTCACTAAAAATAAAGCCTTTATCTCTCTTCCAATCATCAGATTTGTATTTACTTTCTCCACAGCCAGTGAAAAGAAAAGAATTTCGTGTGCTGGCAATATTTCAAAACTACTACAATCCTTGTACAGAAACTGCATGGCTGCTGGGGCTATTGTGTGGCCCAGTTCTCTGAATAGCCAGTAAAAGCATTTGAGAAAAAGCAGCACAGAGAACAGAACAAAATTGCTACAACACAGGGAGTAAAACCACTCTCTGTGTAAAGAACATTCCATAGGGTCTAAGTTTAACAGAGTATTTCATTCACTGCCAATGCATGAAACAACTTCCATGCTATAAATTGCTTTGTTTTCCCCAACAGTTCTGAAACAAATGATAGAAAGGTGCAGATTTACTCCTGCCACTGTAATTGTTTGCTCCTCAAGTGACCTTCATTTGAAGATGGAAATGCCAGGCATGGGAACCAGGCAGACAATAAATGGGCCAACAAGTTTTGGTCATTTAATGACTTACACTGAGCCAGATTTGCTCTTGCTGATCTGGTCAGGAGTTTTCTGTCTTCTTGGCCAGCCCCTCAGCCAGAGGAATAATGAATCAGCAGCATTAACAGCAAAATACTGGAAGGGCCAACACCAAGTCACTGACAGGAGGTGATGCAGAGGACTCACTCAGAGTCACACAGACCCACTTAGAGCACTCAAATGCAGGTAAACAGACAAAGTGATCCCTGGAGACCCAATTAGTTAACAGTGCCAAAAAAAGGGAGGTTGAGATCCTTCCTGTTCTGCTTTCCATATGCAAACCTAGGTAAAGAACACCCAGGCAGAGACAAGATCTAGGGTAGAAAATAGGATAATTTCCTAGCAGAAAGAAACATCATCCATTGCCTACAACAGCCATTTAAATACAAAAAACTTAGCCAATTTGAGTGCATAACTTAACATCATTTATGCTAAATAATAAAATCAAAGTTCCAAATTAGGATGCAGTGTCTCCAAGACCCTCATACACCTTTACACGTCCCAGGACAGACTGAACTGTGCCTCTAAGTCTCATAGCAGATGTTTTTCTCATCTCTTCCTACAGACCCCACAGCTTCATCACTATTATTCACTATTCCAGTGTTTATTTTTACCATCAGTGTCCTGGTTATGTCCATCCCACAGATGAAACCCATGGCTTCTTTTCATCCGTAGCTCTTGAGAACAGGCTGTTACACAGCAGACTTTTATACCTTTGAACTCTATTATCACTCCTGAAGCCTTTTCCACCTTTACTGCATGACATATTAACACCATTTTCTCTAATTCTCAACTGAAATCAACTTTCCAGGCCTCTGATCCTTTTCACTAATCCAATTTGTTTCTCCTCACCTGGGCCCACATTTTTCTTTAAATGCAGGATCCTAAACCAGGCACAACTGAAGGCCTTGCAAACACTGACTCTGGTGTGAGGATTATTTCTTGTGCCTTGCAGGCTGCACTCATCCTTACCCACCCTGAGACATTTCCTGGCACACTGGGACAGCTGTGCTCTGTTTGTTACTCAGCATTTTGCTTTTGCTGCAGGGCAGGGATTGCTGCCCACAGGAGCAGCAGCCTCTTTGCACACACTCCTTTCCAGGCTAAGCACACAATTCCTCTTCTGCTACAACCTCTTTGAAGGTGAAGGCACAACTAGAAAATCCCAAATGCAGGGATGCAGAGTTTTTGTGCATTTCATAAATATCAATAAGGAGCAGACATCTAAAACACTGTAAGTCTAAAATTTTAACAGAGACAGTAACAACTGAGCAATGGTTGTGGAGGCCTCACCACCACTAGATACTTCTTAAAGCAATACTGCTTCTTTATTTGTTTTGGCTTTTTTATCCTAAAGTCTGTTTCAACTCAAACAGGAACCAAGCCACAACCCACCCTTCTCCTCTGTTCCCCACTCCCCCCAGCCTCCCCAAACATTAATCAGCCTCAGGCAATTTATCATTTTCAGGAAATTCACTCCCTGCGCCCTGTAGAAAAAATAATTAGGTAATCCATGACACTCATTTATTCAGCTGTAGATAAAAAGTGAGCAGGAACTAAAGCCCTCCATGGCCAAGCCCACTGCCAGAAGGACAGGGTAGGTGCTGATAGACAGCAGCTGGAACAAACAAGGACAATTAAGGCGTCCTTTAGGAAATGTCTGTGCAAAAGCAGTAACCACAACAGGGCCAATCCAACCCCCCACAGCCCAGCCAGCTACATTTATAGGTGTCTAAAGGAGCGTGAAATCTGTACTAAATACAAAATCAAGGAGCTTTAGAAACAGATCTTTAGCTGATATCTACCAGAACACTAATCAGAACACACAACACATGAATCTCTAATGGTACAAAATACAATTCTCTGCTCCTCAGAAATGGCTGAACTGATTTCCTCCTAGATGTTGTCTTTATCTTTTTAAGACAAAACTCTGATTCTTCAGCATGTTTATATGACAATTAATGCTCTGATAAGTATAATGTACTAGGGAGGATTATTCTTCGACAGGTTACATATACAATTTTCTTCATACACCTTAGCTCACTAGCTGCAGAGGACACAAATCCCTCCAGAGTGGGATCAGCTGTCAGGATTGCCTGGAACCATGCCTAGACCAGCCCAGAGATACACCCACAGGAGTCAGGCAGCACTGTGAGCTGTTTCTCTGTGGCCACTTATTTTCCCAAGTAGGGCCCTCACTAAATCTTAAAAGCACAACTAAAATTTAATACTGACAGTGGAAAAAGCAAGATTTCATGGTTGCAGTATTCCATTTATACTACAACTGAACAATTACCAAAATAATGGTGCCAGCACCTGCATAATTGTTCATCATGCTTTCCCTCCATAAAAAGCGACACCTTTGACTTGTGCTGTGCTCCCAAAGGATACCTGGGAATTCCCACACAATACCTGTGCATTCTCAAATCTTCATACTATCATTTCCCATATGCCTAACTTAGAGACAGAACAGTTATTTATTCTTTTTTCTAATTCAAGCTGTTTTCACTGTCTTGTTTTTTGACATTGTTTTTGTGCTACTGCACCTCAGTTCTTCCTTTACTAGCACAATTAAAACAATACATAAATGTATAAAAATGCATGTTCTAAATGTGTAGTCCAAAATCCTACAGAACAGATTAAAATAGGAGATGTATTACAGAATCTGAGTGTTATTTAAAATCTGAATGTTTAATTGCAATATTTTAATATTTTGTATTCAAAAAATGTAATTTTAAGAAATAATTAATTGAGAATATAATATAAAAACACATACTGCAATATGCTCAAAAAGCAATTTGTTCCAAAAACTGATTTTCTTTGTTTTCCCTCAAACTGCTGGGTGATAAAGCAGTCAGATGGCATCAAACTGGAATAAGTAAAAAATTGGTGATTGCCACATCGATAACTCAACTGTAGAAACAACCATTTAACAAAGCAATTCAGAACAGCTGTTAGTAGATGCAATTACCTGACAGAAGCAAAGAGATGAGATAGAATCCAAAATGAAAAATGACAATGGCACAAATCCCATCAGCCCATGATGGGTGCACTGGCAGAGCTGGTCCCTTAAAACCAATGAACACTCACTCCATGTGTGCTCACTCTGCTGAAATTCCGTCCTTCAGAACATCATTTGTACCTCCTATCACAGCAAATACAAAGCAAAACTGGAATAGTGTCACTTCACTCTAATGGTGGGCCATACCCATAGAGTTTCTTCATCATAGACACCAATTTATAACTGCACTTGTCTCTAATATTAGTTACCTTTTAAAACCATCACATAAACCAGGCTAAAACAGGAATGTCTGCACAACTTCAAAACTCAAATGCAGACTTTGGTAAATATTCAGTCACTCTCTTGCTTCTTCCTATCACAGCAATAACTGTACTGAAAATGAAGTTACACGCATGAACATCAAAGCAGAGAATTTGTCACTCAGTACAGACCACACCACACAGATAAAGCACGATTACCTCTAAAGATTCACTCTGCCAAGTACTACACAGAAAATTAATCAGCTGTGCTGCATACACAGAATTCAGAAACTGTATTTAAACCTGTTTTGCTCTAGAAATACACAAAGTACATCCATTTCATTTTATGAGTTCCAGTCTGCTCAACAGAATTGAACTGACAGCTCTCTTTACAACACACTCACATTTTGCCGGCTGAATAGATTACTTTGCTGTGGAAATAATAGATTTGTAGTCTTTGAGGTTCTCTCCACTTTTGAGACTTTAGCCAATACAGGATGAAAGCAGCAAGATCAGCTTGCTGATGTGTGAAAGGAGCTCTGTGAGCAGCAGCCCTGAGCACACAGACCTCAGCATCCCCAGCCATCAATGGCTCACAGCAGCTCCACGGCTGCAACGCTGTGGAGATGATTTCCTTTCTCCTTGATTAACTTCCATTACAGCGCTTCATTTCTTATACTACTGTATCCTGAAAAGAGATAATGAGCAGCAAAGCTTTTTCACCCATGAAATTAGTGTCAATGTACCTCTTTTATTCAAGAATTCAAGGACAACAATCCTTTTAACTCAAAATATAACTTTAGTTGTTCTTACTGGACACATCTAGAAAAACACTGGGAAAATATCTGCTCTAATACAAGGAAGGTTCAAGAATTAATTCTGAGTCAAATGGGTCTCAACCACACATTACATTGTAAATGGAGAGATGATCAACACTTCACAAAACAGATTTGAGGTTTGAAAGTACAGTATAATTCACTATTTTATTGTATTTTTAACAAGCAGTGCACAGTGCACTGCTACTTAAGAATCTTCTCTCTGCTTGCACTCCAGTTTGCATAAATTCCAGCTCAGGTGCCTGCATTAAATTCAGTACTGGGGATATGAGAGTTGGAGACTCCTGAAAGGCTAAGGTTTCACAACATAACTGGACCAGGATGGAATAAACAGATTTCAGTCATTCAAAGAGGCACCTTGTCAGCCATGAGAGAATTTACAACCATACTCACTCATTGTCCAAGCCAGGAACAGAAGGAAGTATGAGGAAGGAAAAGTAGCTCAGCTACTCAGACTGCCAAGCCCACCCTGACCCACCCTATTTTTGATGGTCTTGGTGTGGTAAACGCACACTCTGAATGTTGGGAATATTTTCAGCTGCCTGTAAAGGAATGTGAAATAAATCCAGCATTTAAAAATCTGATCTGGAATTACTTATTCTGTGCTGAGCTTTATTCAATTTTAAGTAGCTTAAGAAGCCTTTCAGGTAATTCACTCAGTAAAATTAATAATATTGCATTTGGTCTTACAGTAAACCTGAGGAAAGACTGTTCCCATAACTCTAAAGAATGTGCGAGGAGCCATCCTCCTCTGCTTTGCAAATAGAAGCATCTCCTTCTGAATGAAAAAAAAATTAAATATATGAGTAGACTTCGTCACCAGGAAACACAGTAACAATAAATTTGGATTCAAAGGAGAGGAAAGGAAAGAAAGTATTCACACACAAGACTTGAAGAGCCCTAAGCTACATAAATCTTTAATAGAGATGCCTAACTAATGAATGGAACCAGAAACCTGAAAAAGACATTTACTATTTACATTGTACTTGAACTTTAGCAGCTCCAAACCAAATATTCATGCTGCAGACAGAGGAGAGAATCAGCTTCTCTCCTTGCCTGATAGTCACCAAGGCATTCTACAGATGCACCTTTAGTAGGAAGTAATTACATAAATAGCAAATCTATAAACTCACATACATGTCTGCAGGTATTCTGAACTCTGAGAGCTGTTAAAAGTAATTAAAAATACTCAACTGTATCCTTACTAAACCAAAATAGCATAACATTTCACTCTTGCATGTCAGTATCAGACAGCACTAATATGTTACAAAATAATTAAAACTTCTAAACACCTAACTTCATCCTCTCAAAATGTTGCAGGTAGTTAGTTGTAATATTTTGATATTTGATATCTTCAGTAAGTTAAGAATACTCTGAGTTTAGAAAGAAGACAAAATTTTCATAGATGAAACATATCAGAAAAATTTAGACTTTTTACTTTATTGAACATGACAAGAAAAACTCAGTTCCTTAAGATTTCATCAACTTCCTGTGGAAGAACAGATTAAGTTGAAACTGCATCCCTAACCCATCCCATCTGTGGCCATCATCTCAGTTTTGGACACCTGATTCTTAATAAACCTTTTAAACTCTTTTAACTAATTTTGTAAATAGGTAGGATTTGCTTGTGCCTTCATTTGGCTTTAATTAAACCAAGTAACTTCCTAATATAGGATAAAGCTGTTCTAGAAATGTGGCTACTGTAAAAAAAAAAAATCAAGATACTAGGACACTGACATCCTTTAGAAGCACAGATTATTGAGCCTGAGCATCCAGAGGAAAGCAAAGAGCCTTATTTCCAGGGGCAATTTAGGAGCTACTACTGCAGGAAACTAAAGAACCCCACATGTCCTAGTGAAATCCAGAAACCAGGAATTGTCTCCACTGTAAACCAGGGTAGATGGATCCCACTTGGGTGCCTGCAGATCTTAATGGCAATCCATCTCATCATGCAGCTGCAATTTCTACTGAGGTGTGCAGGCAACACTACAAGTATGGTATCTTATATTTAGAATTCTAACCCTACAATTCAATACCCTTGGGTGGGCTGAGACCCCAGCACAACAGTGAAATAGCCCAGTATTTTTGGCCATTTTGCTGTAACCTATAATTTTGTGCTGAAACCCCACTATTCAACTAATCTCTGAAGTCAGCACTTATAGATCAGTCAGCATTTGCAATCAATACTTGTATCTATAAATGTGCATATATGGGACCACACATGCTGCAGTGGTAGCTCCTCTGTCCCCATTAAAAGGTTTGAGTAGTTTATTCAGGGCTTGGAATGAAGAAAGAGGATTGATTTACAAAAAGCACATTGAGATGGTTCATTGCAGAAACAACAAATTTGAAGATGTTTCAAAGCAATTATAAACTCCCCACTCAATATGATGCAAGGCTGAGTTAACACACACAGGGCCAGGAGGTACTGCTGGTTTTCCTTCTCCTGTGTGACTGCCTGGGAACAAGATCACACAGGTGAAATGTGCTGCATTGCTCTGTTCACAGCTGCTACCACCAAAACCCCACAGCTGAGTTAGTGGAAACACCAGATTTTTACCCCACCTGCAATAAAGAGGAGCATGAAACCTACTAAATGTTATACATGAAATGTAATCTTAACTCTGGTTCTCTACATTCTCTCCCTCTGGTTCCTCAAGCAATGAATATAATTGAGATTTTGGTACTAAAACACCTGTTTCTTTAAAATTACTTTGTAGTTGTTAACTGTAATTAAAGAGGGTGAGCCTTATCACTGTCAGCTGTTACCTACTGTTCTTAAATTTACAGCCAGGAATCAGAGCTAAGTCAAATAGAAAGCAAATGCAAAATTAAAACTGAAAAAGATGTAAAAAAATTTCTGAAAAAGTTACTTTCCTAACTACCTTTTCTTAGATGAAAAGTTCTGAACATAATTAAAATTGCACTCAGACTATACCCATGGGAACTCCTGTGTTTAAACCCATTTTCTTGTAATGTAAGTTGATATGTCAATTCCCTTTATAAATGATTGAGTTATATCTTAGAAGAAATTCAATTTTGTGCTTGTATTCTGACTGCTGTATTGGTTAGAATCCTTGTCTTGATTTTCAGCATATGTCACTTCCACTCACTTCATATGCTGACAAGGTCCTCCAAAGATAAACAGTTGTTTTCCCTCTCATTAAAGTTTACCTTGCTGACATATTTACAGGAAGCAAACATATGCTCCCTCAATCTTTATTTTCATGGGATTAGCAAGTCAGCTTTTCCTGAATGACAGGTTCCTGTTTCTGCATCTGTCATACTTTGAGGAATGTCCTTCTCAGAAGTTACCTTCTTGTAATACATTTCACTGTTATTGTTATGTTTTGACCAGCAATGCCAAGTTATGCTTCTTTTCCACTTACTCAACTACCCAGTAGGTATTTGCTGTGTTATCTTTATCATTCTCATTAAAACCTGAGGCAGAGTTCTTACTTAATTTTGGGGCCATATAAAAATATTTTAACTTCTACCTTATCGATATTACTTAGTGTTAGCTTTTTTTTTTTTGCTTTTTCTTAACAAGGCTGAGGAACATTTAGGTATATACTATATATCTTGTAAAGGATTTCTATCCATTCTGAATTTTAAAATATATCTTCAAATATCAATAAAACTTTTATTGCTTTCTCAGGACCCACTGACAAAATCTACCTCCCTAAGACCCTTCTCACAATGAATTTTCTCTACTCCATTATTTTCTATTAGTTTTATTAAAATACATACTTGGAAATTGAGAGTCACAGATACAGAGTTCTGCTGATCATGCAATTAAACCTAGAATGAATCAATATCTGCCTTTCAGCCTAGGGTTTTTTTTTCTGAGCAGTTCTTTCATTGATTCCTTATTATTTTTCAAAACAACATAGCATCAATGCTTTCCCATTTGGTGATAATGAAGTGAAGCAATGATGGCAGCAACCACACTGAGCTCTAACTCACTCATACAATATGCCCAGTATTACTCTGTTTTTCATTTGGGTAGCTGTAACACAAAATGCTACATGGTTTAAACTTCTTACAGTGTTGCAGGGCAGTTTATAAGCAGGCTTCCAGCACCACCCAGAAAGAACACTCACCCCTCTCCCCCAAAGTGACGTGGCTGCCTTCACATCAGAAAATATCTCATTATTCTGCAGCACTTTGTGTTTCTTTGCATTCACCATAGCACCAATAAACACCACCTCAGAACAGCACAGTGAATGATAATTCTTCTTGCACCTCCCAGCATAAACCAGCCAGTTTGAACTTCTGTTTCTTGAGTAATCCTTAACAGTTACCACACAAATGCTGATACTGTGATGGAGAGGTTTTTTGCACATTAGAGTGGATGAAAACACAGAGCAGCAGCTGCTGCTGCCTCCATCACACACTTTGTGAGTTAAAACTGCAAGAATCAGTTAATTCACTCCCAACACACCTTGAGGGTCAGCCTGACTGCATTGCACTCCTGCAGAGGGTTCAGCTTCAGTGTTTCTCCCAGGTTACTGCAGCCTGATGTCTGGTGCTGCATTTCACAGCAAACACAGACACCGTCACTGTCGAATTTAATCTGGGGAGAAAAGAAAAGGTCAGAAAAAGCATAAATCAACAGAATTTGTATAAAAGTATAAATCAACAGAAACACACTTCCCAAAAATGGTATTTACAGTTACAGTAATGACTACTAAATGCAAAATGAAAATCTCTGTGCAGAACCTTTGGAGCAGAATGTTTTTCAATGACTAATATAAGCTATAAAAACAGGGAAAATACAGAAAGAGGATTCAATGTCAAAAGTGTTACCTTTTATGCCTCTTTTTGAAAAAAATTTGCTTTGCAGGGGCAGGTGAAACCAGAGTAACTCAACTGAATAAACATAAAATCATACCCAATGTGGGATAACCAAAAATAACAGAAAAGGTCAGAAAATACGTGAAGGAGTCATGATCACAAATTAGTCCTTTATTCCCCTAAGTAAAGACGGAAGCACAGTGGCTGGGTGGTGAGATCTGAACCACCCTATTACTTACTCTTTTGCATTAAAGAAACCCCTCAATATTTCCAGACACAAATCCATTAAAAAATTCCCAATGCAAATACTGGTTCGTTATTTTAAAATCAAATTCTCTCTAGGATGTTGCCAATTTCCTGAACAAAAACAGGTACCAGCATTCCTTGTGGAATTCCTTGCACAGCTTTATACATAGAATAATTTCAACAGAATATTTACTTACTTCTTAGACCTCAAAGAATGTTTAAATTGTTCATATGATCTTAAAAGTTGTATGTTTAAATATATGTCTTTTTAGTGCCACCCCCATCTGGCTTATGCAGCACTCTCTCCTTACATCCTGGTGACCAGGACAGCAGATGGAAGAGTAAAACTAAGTCAATTAAAAGAACATAATAAGCTTCTCCAGATGAGGTTCAGATGACTGGATGCTTGCTCACTGTGATGAAAGCAAGCTCAGGGCAGGAGCTATCTCAGGGGACGTCAGCTCCTGAAACTCCAGATTGCCCTCTAGCCAGCACAATTTGTAAAATGCTTTAGAAAAAATTGGGTATGTAAATTACACCATTTCCCATATTCTCCAAGGCAACACTGGAAATAATTGTCTGTGGCAACTCACAGAAACTGGTCATACCCTATGCCAGAGACACTGCAAGGAAATAAAGAAAAAACATTGTTTGTTCACCTCTATGATAGTTGTGGGTTTATTTCTCATTAGCATACAATTTAACTACAAAGCAGCTTGAACAACTTCAGAATAGCTCTTTTTCAATTCCTGTAATTTTTTAATATTTTTTTTTTAAAGGAGAAATATCTGAGCATAACCCAACTAAATGGTTTATGATCAGCTGACCTCAGCTCTTCAAGCTGATGTAAAATCAAAGCACTGGCTGTCACGGGGGAGGTCTTGCTCCCAAAACTCCCTGGAAATGGTTCAGGGGTTGAGAAATGCAGCTGAGGAATTCTGGTACTCACACTTTGAATTTAGAGCTGTGTCAAAGCCAGGGGCCAGAAGGCTACACCTGGCAAATCAATATCGGCTTCAGCTGCTAAAAAGTTTCTGTAATAAGGAAAATGGACTTCAGTCAAAGGTTTTTACTGCAAGATCATCTATTCTGATTCTTGCTGCCCCTGTTCAATAAAGGACAGGCACTGACTCATGCCATGTATCTGGCATTGCTAATGTGAAATCCAGATCCCAGGGCCACCTGTAGCACATGTAATGATCAGGTGTCACAAAGACAAGGCTCAAAAGGCTGGGTCAAGAATCCCCATTTATGAGAGACTCTCAATTCATAACTTTCTGAAAGTTACTCCATAACTTTGTACTGCCCAGTAGCTCTTCTTTTAATCTAATTTTTAAAATTAGTTAAAAGCTAAATTTTTATATGGCACTTCTTGCAAAACACAGGGCCATCTGAAGAATCACAGCATATTCAAAACAGCCAAGATCCACTATCAGATTGGCAGCATATTATTTTTGGAGAAATTTGCCTTGTTGTGCACCTTTTCCCTCCGTGTTTGTTAAGTGGCCTCTTTACTGAGCAGTGTTGCTGCAGTGGGGAGCAGCACAAAGGCTGCAAGTGTCACTGCATTTGTGCTCTCAGCAGTGCAGCACCTGAAAGCACTCCTGAGCCCCTGCTCCAGAACGCCCTTCCCTGCCCCGCTGCAGACAGGATCAAGAGTTCATGCAGCTATTCTGTGACATAAACAGTGCCAAAATTAACTTTTTTTTATCTGGGAAGGAAGGAGAAGTGGATTATTGTTCGCCCAAATCACATCTCAAGGCCATTTGCTGCGTGATGCCACAAACAGAGACAGTAGCAGTGACAGTAAATCTGCATTGATACCGGGAGAAGGGGTTGGGATGGCTCCTTCCAGCGGCTGGGCTGGTGTTTGCCAACCCCAGACACAATTACAGCAGCAGTGCCTCCAAAACTGTCTGTGCTTCAATCTCTCTTTGGCTGGCAGAGCTCAAGAATAAAGCATCATTCACTTCATCCCCTGCACATTCCCCACCATGCTGTGCACATTTGTGTCCCACTTCGTGATTCTTACTCATGCTAGTCAGTACTCACAGCAGACTTTGTGTGCTTTCATATTTATGACAGTTGCATACTACACCCTCATCCAAACCATATTTAAGATTTCAAACATCAGCCAGAGCTGCCTATATGCATAAATTGTCTTGCAAGTTCATTTTGTTTTGTCAAAAAGCAGTACTGTTACTTCAAAAGCCATAAAAGCCATTAAAACCTGACTTTCACACAGCAGAGAATCAAAAAAGCAAAGGACTTTCCAGATTTATTACAAATACTTGGACATACTCTCACAGGCTTTATGTTTATTTTTTTTTTTTAAATCTGTATCAATTAACCAAATTCTGTCAATGCTGCTGGAAAGAAGTCTGTTTGCTTGTTTGGCTAAGTGCACACACACCCTCCCCTAACAGGTCAGGTGAACTCCATAAAAACAAATACAGATGAAGAAATAAAACTTATTCTGTCTTGTGCAGTAATAGAACATAAATTAAAATATATTAATATGTTTAATAATATGTATATATATAATATTTAAATATATTAATTGCTCTACCCATATTTTCAAAGAAAAATTTTAGAGAACCATTATTTTTAAATTAAATTCCTATACACAAATTTTTGTCCTGTACACATTAATGAACAGCTTGAGTGTGTAACTTCTCTCTGCACATCTGATTCTCACTGATTTAAAGCAGCATCTTGAGGTTTTGGCCACAGGATCTGCAGCTAATTATGGAAAAACAAAAAAAACCCTCCAATTAATTTTTGGTAACCAGGCATTAAAGCTGCTGCCCTTTTCCCCCTCAGTGTTGTATGTTGCTAAGCTGCAGGATAAAGGGCACAAATACCAACTTCACAAATTACACATTGAAAATGCTAACATATGGCAAGCACATTTCTCATATTCACACAGAAATACATATTATGGAATCTACAATAAATCCCCAGTGTTTAAAGCAAAATAAGACCACTGAGTCTTGTTCTTTTCCTTCAAATAACAACACTACATGTGAAGCGCTGCTGAATTTAAACTCCATAATACAGTAGATACTATTATCACCATGCACTCACCATGAATGAGTTTGACAGAAGGACCAGAACTAAAACAGAATCTATTTTGAATTTGACTTTTTTAGTATACTGTGCTTGGAAATTTACTGGTTCAGTTACATGGGATGCTAATTACATTTCCAACCACATGTCTGCAAAGGCTGGATTTTGACTCCTAGAGCTGCATCCTCAGAGAGTACATTTGTATCCTAGGAGGCAAGTAAAGGATTTAGACTTGATAATGTACACCAGTCACACAGTGCAAGATTACACAGATCTACAGCACTAAAGAGAGCCATCTAAGGAATTAAAATTAAATATACACTTGGAACAAGCTGTTAAGAAACTGGGATTTTTCCTTTTTAAGTGAAAAATGGTAATAAAGTAATTAAATATGCTCAGCATAACACATCACCACCTTCTGAGTCAAACCCTGTGCTTAATCATAAAGCAGTGCAGCTCACTCCAGTGTATCCCACAGAGGGTGGCCTATGAGAACAGAACTCCAGAATTCCATATAGATGAGCCCTGCAACATGGCAATGCAATATATTCATGTGTAAGTCCCCAGCCTGACTGAAATAGGATTTTGAGCAAGGAAAACCTAAAGAGTGAGGTCTGGGTAGAAGAAACTGTTGCTTTTTTAAAATATTTTTTTAACAGTTACAATATGATAAACAGCCACAATTAAATTAACTTGCCCTTATAGAGTACAACACGCTGTGGCAAAGCTACTTAGCATTTCATCACGCTCTGAAAATCAAAACTACAGTTTGAACACTTATTATTTAAACTCAAAACATTTCAGTCATGAGTTGACTTATGCAGACATCTTCACAAGCTGAAGCCAGAAAATATGCTGGAATTCAATGTGTATATAGTTTCTTTTCCTGAGATAAAACCACAAATGCTTTAAGTAAATGGTACGTTATAATTTAGAGCATGCCACATCATGATAATTTGTATTGTTCTGTATTTTATTTAGCACAAGTAACTTTCATTTACTTTGGAAATGAAAACGAAAAACAACTCAGGTTGGTAAACAAAATATTAGCATACACATACCAAAATGTTGTGAATTCCACTGCCTGGACAAGTACTGGATGGAAGGAATTCTGATCCTGCTGACATCAAATGGTAACCACCACACTGCTCTGATGTGGCCTGAACTCCACCTATTCTGCTGAAGCATCACTTTTACCATTACAGTAAAAGGTCAATCCTTATGATATTAAAGTTACTTTTTGAGGTAGCAAAACATTAAATCCATTAGCACTTTATGCCAAACTTTTCCCAAAATGTTTTTTTTTTTAAGTTGTAACACATATAGATTGCTCTACTAAATACCTACTGTACTAGAAATTAAAGGAGTGCGTCATGGATATATTTTCTGAAAAACCCCTTTACCAGGATTTTTCTCCTGAGAAGCTGAGAAGCCTCAGAGGAAAAGAAAAACAACAATTATCTGCTGCTGTGGAATGCAACAGATGCATCCTTGGTTGGTCCATGTTGGATGTTTCTAATTTATAGCCAATCACAGCCCAGCTGGCTTGGACTCTCTGAGAGTCACAAGCTTTTGTGGTCGTTCCATTCCCTTCTATTCCTTGCTAGCCTTCTGATTAAATCCTTTCTTCTATTCTTTTAGTATAGCTATAATATATAATTTTAATACAATATACATCATAAAATAATAAACCAATCTTATGAAACACAGAGTCAAGATTCTCGTCTCTTCCCTCATCCTGGGCCCCTGTGAACACCACCCCAGGAGAGTGTGTGAAACCCTAAGAGATGAAGAGCAGAGCCCTTGCCCTTGGTAAGAAAGGAGTTTCCCATCACTCACCAGCTGACATCCTTCCAGGGACTTGACCAGCTGAGCATTCTGACAGGAGAGAATGGACCCGGCCAGGTTCAGCATCACACACACTGCAGAGAGCAGCATGAAAAACGTTATCTGGAAAAAACCCCAAGCACCCTATTATTACTCACTTCAAGAGGCAAACAAGGGAAAAATATAATTTAGATGTTCAAGAACTTCCAGCCTGTCACACAATTACATGGATGACAACATTTCATGTATTTTAAAGAGAGCAGGGTACTTAATCTGACAACATCCTTGGTCTTGCACTGTAAGTGAAAGCTAAATCAAAACTAGACATGGCTATTATATGTTTTCCTCCAGCCATTTCAAAATAATCCATTTATCTCCCACTTCTATCTCACACTCTGAAAACTTAATGGGTTTTATTACCAGGCATTACTAAAAAGTAAGATTTGAAAAATGTTTTATTATAAACAGATGTAGTCTTGAAACAATTTAAATCCTTTTGATGGGGATATAAGTATATTAAACAGGAAAAGTATTTGTGACTATCACATATCATGAGCACCTACAAGTTGGGGAAAAAGGAGTGAATAAAATTCTGGATGTATATATATAAATACTTGGTTTTTAAACAACAATTAAAATTTAAGCAGCATCCTCCATATCAACTACTCATGATGTTAATTACTCCTTTTTTCTCATCTCAAAATATGTCAAAACAAGCATTAACCTGATTCCATCAGTTTAATTATAATTTTATTACTTCAAATGTACAAAAGCATGGTGCAGTCAGGGCAGACAAATCCCAACATGTAGGGAACAGCATAAGCAGTAAGAGTAACAAATGTGTTCCTGATGTGTGGCCACCTTAAATATTCAGTGTTGACACTGCCATAACTCAAGAGGAACGTGAGTGCACTATATGAAATTAGTAAGAAATTCTGTTGCATCTCTTTTCCATATGCGTGCTCACAGTTTACAGCCCTTGACTGTTCTCACAAGATGTTATCTTTTGTCAGTGCATGTGCTAGGAATATTCTTGACAACCTTAAATCAAAATGGCTGTGTATTTTTTTCTAGTGCTTTTGGACAACACCCCATAACCTCCACAGTATTAACCAAAGGACAGAAGCTGTGTGACAAACTTCAGTTGCCAGCTTCAGAGTCTTCCAAGCATCACAGCTGACAACAAGGCTGCAACATACACCAGGTTTATCTATTTTTTGCAGTACTTGCTCCATATCAGCATTCATTAATGAAGAAACCTCTATTGGTGTTTCCAAGGTAACCTCTTCCTCTTGTCACTGGCAAAGACAAGAGGGACACAAAACAGGCTCTTAGAATTCCTGCTCATCTCTGTGGTCTGTGCCTCACGTTCTGCTCAGGAGTTGCATTTCAAAGTGGCAGCCACCACATGGAATCAAATACTGGGGTTCTGTGTCACAGTTGTCCTCCCAATTTTGCTATTTTATGCCTCACTTCTTTAATGTCCCAGGCAGGGAACTAGCTAATCTGGACATGGAGCTAAAGGGAGAAATTCACATCCTCTGCAAGTCTTTTGAAACTGCCTTGCCTCTTGCAGAGCACAAAGATCCCAATAAAAGGACTTGAAGAATTTCCAATCTCTTTCCTTATGCTTCTCAGCTAAATAACAAAACCAGCCTTTTACTGATGGAGTGGGACACACCTGGTATTCTGTTATCACAATTTCAGAGGTAAAGTGTAAACTTCACACCATGCTGGAACCCACAACAGAGAAAGGGAGCCACAAAAGTATCAATTACCATATTTACAGACATTAAAAAACATGTTCACTGCGCTTCATTTTTAACACCAAGCAGTCTTTTCTAACACTGGCACAGGTGCAGCAGTAAAAATAAACACAAAAATAAACAGCTTTGAAAGAATGGCTGTTGTGAATTTTGATGGAGACCCAACATTACACTATGAAACACTATAGATTAAGTTAGATATACATTATTTATGAAGTCAAGTATGGCTAATTCCACACTAAAATTTTCCTCAGAAAGAGAGCTACCAAACAATACATTTGCTCTGAGAGCCCAGTGTGACATGCTGGAAGGAGCAGTATGAAACTATAAGGAAAGAGTATAACACACAAACAGCCCATTGATCAAGGGCAAAAACTTACACTGAAGTAAGCACAGAATGGTCAGATATAGAAGGGCTGTGACATCCTAATGCTGATTTAAAACCACAACATTATGTTCTTCACCTTTCTAGTTACAACATATAAACAAGACAAAATATTCCTGGAAATCAGCAGGGAGCCTTAATGCCCCATAGCTGCAAAAGTCACCAAGAACTAATACATGAACAAAAAGCAAAGCCCATGGATTTATTATGACTTGGTGTAGCAGAACTAATTGGAGAAGTCAAAGCTTATATTCCATACAAAGGACTCTATGGAAGAAATGTTAATAGGAGTTCCTATGTAAATGTTACCATGGTCCTAAACAAATTCTACAAAACTAAAACAGTTTGGATGCAATGACTTAAAATTATGTAACAACTCACTATGTGAGATACCATCTTGCACATAGACCCACACAAGGCTCCCCTTTTTACTCCATTTCTGGGAACTGCTTTAAGTATAAATATGCAGAGCATATCAAGAGTGATATGCATATCACCACACACATCTGCACAGAATGAAAATATCAGCACCCTCCATGCCTTGCAAGGGAGAGCCCAGAAGAAGCGCCCTTCCACACTGAAAAAAACCCCATAAAACACCAAAAACTTAAGAACTAACAGGTTCTATTATCTTTCCACTATAAAGGAAGTTGTTTGTAGTTCTCTCTTGAGTATAATTTGACCTTTTAGAAAATTATTTGTATTCTCAGATTACTTGTGAACATTTTTTCCTTTATGTTTCTTAAATGTAGATACAACCATACACCTGCCTTCAGAATGTCCCAAAGTAAATCATCTTAATTTTATGGATAGCACAAAAAAAAAATCAAAGGGATTTACAGAAGCTGATCTATTATCTGCCCTCCATTCTTTTTCATCACTTTCAGTTTTGCTTCTTGATATTTCTCTTTTCTTCACAACCGGCCTCAAGTAATTTATTCTCTTTTGTTTTTACCATAAGCTTTAGTCTTCCTTTCATCTTCTTTCCCAAAGGCACTGTTTACCTGAAAACCCAACAACTTTAATCCTTGAGATAGCTGGCTCAAAGCACCTTCTTGCCCTTACTGTGTCTTTCACAATTTCTTCTTGAATCGATGGGAGGTAAAAAGGGGAAAAACAAATGAACCAACTTTAGCACGCACTGCAGTTTGTGACCTGCAACACAAGACATTAACAATTTAGATTTTCTGTCCATATGCAGCTTTCTACCAAAAAATGCAGTGAGAGCAGCTCAGAGGAGGAGGACCTGGGGGTGTTGGTGGATGAGAAGCACAGCATGGCCTGACAATGTGAGTCTGCAGCCCAAACAGCCAGCCCTGCCCTGGGCTGCAGCTCAGCAGCGTGGCCAGGAGGCTGAGGAGGATCCCCCACCCCTGGCCGAGCTCAAGGCCAGGCTGGAGGGGTCTCTGAGCTATCGGGACAGGGGAAGCTGTCCCTGCCCATGGAACAAGGTGACCTCTCCCCTCAGCACAACCCAGCCCAGTCTATGACTCTATGACTTTCACAAATTTATACCAGACCCTGTTTTTCCCAATACCTTTGATGGGGATTCTTTACGTGACCCAAAGCACCCCCTCACTGCTGCACACATACACACACACCAAGAGCACAGTAAAAGGGAGCAGCACATATTGCATTTTGAAGAAATGCCAACTACTACAAGAAGGAAGACGTTTCTACATGCAATGTAACTGAAGTCCTCCAAAAGAGATGCAAATATTGTATCACATGAAACCTTATTTCTAAAAGCAACATTTTATTTCATTCCTCACACTTTCATTTTGGAGATATATATGAAATAGGATTGCTTCTTCATTGCTGGCATTTCAATCACTGCTTCCCCTGGTGGTTTGCAGGTTTGATAGTCAAGACATGAACACTGAGACAGAACATTACCCTCTGTGCTGATGAAGCACATCACTCAACTCTCCTGAGCAGGGAACTTTGAATAAAACCAGGCACTGCCATGATAGGCTGCCCTCTGTAAATCTGCCAATCCTCTGCACCTGTAATACTGCCTCTATTTCCTGTTAATAATTCCTGTCCTTCAGCTCCTGAAAGGTCAGCAAATCTCCTTGAATGAACTTTGGTTCACACTGAAATAATTTGCAGAAAGCAATGTTTTTGAGACGCAGTAGTTTGATATGAGGTGCTACAGGTTTCTTTCCAATGACATTAAATATGTGTGGGTGTATTTAGTGAGATTTAAAATACATTCCTTTTAACACACACATTTCTTATCTGTGAAACAGCATGAATAGCCAGAGGTAAATGTGTTTGTCTCTATAAACCACTGTATAAGTAGATTAAAAACTTGCCCCAAGGTATTCTGCTCACAGAACTTTGTCTTACATGAACTGCAGGCAGTAACATTTATTGATATTTGTGCTACAGAATTTATAGTTTCCCTGACAGAGGTGCAGAAGGTTAAACACCAGAAGCAAACCTGAAAATTTATCACCACCAAGAGCTATGAAGCAGTGAGATCAACAACTGTGCCAGGACTAAGTTAATGCAAGATTATCTGGGGTACAGCCAGAAGCTACCTGTTGGATCTGCCAGATGCTGAATGCTCACTGTATATTATAGGTTTAAATTGATAAAACAGATATTTTTTAAATGAGCCCACTTTAAATTCTTACTGAACAGAAATCGCATTCAAACCAACACTCTTGTCTCATGGTTTGCAAGTGCACAAGAAACAACAAAATTTATCTTTCCATTATTTGCTTCATAATAGATTTCTTTTTCATGATTTCTCAATGCTTGCCAAGAAGAGACAGGATGAAATGTGTTGGCATTTCAGATCTGTTTAATTCAGTATTCCCTGTTTTTTGCTTAAATTAAAATAAAGCTTTGAACAAAAATATTTTCTCCAAGTCTAAAGTAACGTTCTATATTAAATAGGCAGAAATATTCCCTTTGTGGCACAGCATCAGGCTAAATATTTTAATGTTTTTATGTTAGGAGCC